TCACTCACATTGTTCTCAAAAGAAGGCTGTGACTCCTTTAGTTGTGTTTTACCACAGAGGATACCGTACTAAAATTAAAAAGACAAAGTCAACAGACTTTGTATTGTGAAGTTCCTCTGTGATGATCACCAAGCTTTACATTAAAATAAAGTTTAAAACAGTGTAAATACAGAAAATGTCACCGCATTAATTCACAATAAATCTGCTGCTTCACCAATAAGAACTTAATACTGAAGGAGAAGACAGATGAGCTTCCTCATATATCATTCAAAAGCAAGCATTAACAAGCCTGCAAACATACTGAAGTATCTCCAAGTCCCAACCTCGTCAGGACAAACTGCTATCGATGCAAGTCTCATTTAATTCTTAATAAAATGTGCAACAATAAAAACCATGCACTGAAATTATGGTATTTGCACCAACTGCTTACAAGTCCATAGTATAGACACCACAACATTCCCGTAATATCCCCAAATCTAGCTATTTTGGTTCTATTAAAAGACGAGTTCATCGAGTTTGTGGAATGTAATGCACTGGCGTGGCACTATATTTAAAAGCCTATAGTTCTAGTGTGCAATTTAGTTTTCCACTATATAAGGATGGGTTTGCTAAAAACGAACAGCCTTACAGAAACTTTGTCATTGAGTTTCAGACGAAAGTAATTTTAAACCGAGACATGTTCAGTGACCTGCTGTAAAACACACAGTTTCCAGCAACGAGAGTGGGAAGCTAACTGGTAGCAATAAAAAGTAGGCTAGACACACCCACTGTGTAAACACTATAAAATATAACTAATGGTCTGAACACACCAAAACTATCTAAATGTGCCACAGTAGTTACAGATAAATCATTTCATACCAGAGTTTCTTATTCATATTTCCTATACCAAGGAGCTTTTCGCGACACGCTGCGATTGAAAGATAGCGTGGTAGCCCTCTGACTCACCTGGACATAATTGTTCTCGCAGTAGTCTGCTACTCTGGTAAGGTTTTGGTAACTCTCCACAAGCGCCCTTTTACCGGTCGGAATCTCTTCCTCTAACAACATTTGTAGCTCTGCCATCTTACATCTCCCCACAGAGCCTCCCTTCCTTCCCTCTGCCTTCCTTTTGATTGAAACAGCCACTACTCCAGCTCCGGCCCTGCAACTCCTGCGCCTGTTTCGTTGGATTCCTGTTCTCGTAACCATAAAACCGAAGATCGTCAAGACTGGAGAGGAGGAGTCACTCGAAAGAGGAAAAATAATAGATCTAATGCTTGGTTTGCACGCAAGGCGTAAATAATCACCTTTATTTGGCCAAGTATGTTACACATGATGAATTTGTTTCCGGTACAGAACCGACTCAGCCATCTGCGGCGCCAACTCAACCGATTTAATCTAACCACCGGGTGCAACTTGTGGTTTCAGTGTCTTGCCCCAAGGACACTTCGACATGTGGAATGCAGGCACCGAGATTCGAACCGCCAACCCTGCCCTGAACCACAGTCGCCCCTGTCATTATATAAATGTCATTATTTTGACTTTAGAACAAAAAGGCTGACTAAATATGCTGTCACATAGACACATTTATTGTTAATAGTTAATATGTTTTGTTCTGTTTTTGTACAATCAGAAAATATATTTGACCTAGTCTTAAAATGTCAAGATTAACTATACCTATTTACATTTTTGAGAAATTGTAATGTGTTTTTAAAATAATTTTTGTTGATTCTCTTTATGCTTCCAGAAAAAGTTCCAAGTGAAAACTGTTTTGTTATTTCTCAATGTATTACACAGTCATTTATGAATTTGGCCTATAGGCTATGTCTAGGCGCATAATGCTTTCATCTTCACATTGTAACATTAGTACTGTGGTGTAAAAATAAAAATAGCCCTATTCAGGCCTATTTAAAATGTATATTTTTCCTTTCATATGTTATTATTTTTAACTTTGGTTATATTTCTTCCAAAAAAGAATATGAAATTAACATTAGAAAACTATAAAGGCAGCCTGCTGGAAAAAAAATCAAAGTACAGGTCACTGAGATAATACTTTGGCAGCAAATCTTCAAGTTTAAGAAAGGCAAGTAGGCAGTGCTTTGCATTATTAATAGATAAAGGGCTGCAGACACAACAGCTGGGCTCTAATCCTCACCTCAAGGGATTTTATCCATGCCTCCCTCCCCTTCTCTGTCACCCTCCCAAACTTCACCCAGTATGTTAATTGCTGCACAAGGGACAATAAAACTCTGGACCTACTGTATGCAAATGCCAGGAAGGCATACACCTCTGCCCCCTCCCCCCTCTAGGTCGCTCTGACCACAGCCTTGTTCACCTACTCCAGTATACTCCAGTGGTACAAAAGGTGTCACCACAAGTCAGAGTAGTAAAAGTATGGACTGGGACATTCTCTGCAGTCCTCATGAAGAGGACATAGACGGCCTCACACACTGTGTTTCGGATTACATAAGTTTCTGTCTGGAAAATATTGTACCATCCAGGAGAGTACGGTGTTTTCCCAATAACAAGCCATGGGTGAGCCCTGAGTTAAAGGCACTGCTAAATGAGAAGAAGAGGGTTTTCTTCTCAGGGGACAAGGAGGAACTGAGCAGAGCGAAGCGGGAACTAAAGTATATGATCCAGAGGTGCAAGGCTGGCTATAGGAAGAAGCTGGAGCAGAGCATGGAAACGAACAATGTACGTGAGGTGTGGAGAGGCCTGAAACACATCTCGGACCACAGAAAAAGTGGGGATGGTCACCAGGTCGCAGGAGACAAGGCCTGGGCAGTGTGCAGACCAGCTCAGTGAGGTGGTCCTGTACATGTTTAATCTGAGTCTTAGCCTGGAGAGAGTCCCAGCCCTGTGGAAGACATCCTGTGTTGTCCTGGTTCTCAAAATACCTCATCATAAGAAGCCGAACTATTACAAACCCGTTGCCCTGACCTCCCACCTGATGAAGACCATGGAGAGGATTGTCCTTGGCCACCTCCGGGCCCAAGTGAGCTCGGTGCTCAACCCGTTGCGGTTTACATATCGACCTGGCATCGGGGTAGATGACACTATAATCTACATGCTGCATCAAGCCCTATCTCATCTGGAGTCCCCTGGAAGTATTGTGAGGGTCATGTTCTTTGACTTCTCCAGTGCTTTCAACACAATCCAGTGCGGGGCACTCCTTCAGACATTTTATGATTTTGTGGTGGCATCTGCTGTTTTTTACGCTGTTGTGGGTTGGGCGGGAGGTAGTACAGACAGGGACAGAAAGAGACTAAACAAGCTGGTCAAGAGAGCTGGGTCTGTCCTGGGCTGCTCTCTGGATTCCATTGAGGAGGTGGCGGACAGAAGGATGCTAGAAAACTAACATCCATCATGCATAATCCCTCCCATCCCCTGCACCACACAGTGGAGGCTCTGAACAGTTCCTTTAGCGCAAGACTGTTACATCCCCAGTGTAAGAAGGAGCGTTACCATAGGTCGTTCCTCCCCACAGCTATCAGACTGTACAATACATCTGTTAGGTATTTTTAGTCAGATAGAAATTGGATAGATACTTTATGTATTAGAAATGTTTAGTGGAGATAGGATGTCTAGTTAGACTGTTAAATGCTTAGACATGCTTATGAGTTTCTACAGGGTACATCTGATCAAGAATAACTAGAGAGAAGAGTTGATGACTGTCAGCAGACAGGGTGTTTAATATTATTATTATGATGTGTATAAGTGTAGCCTTAGCCATAATATGTTCTTATGTTTAAGTCACGACATGTATTAGAGGTCGTGAGAATGTTTTTAGCTACACACCACTTAACCAACAGACACACACATTCACACGTTGATTTGCTTCATGTTTTGACTACTGCTATGGCCAGCTGCAAAGCTGGTAAGAGAGACGTCTCGGTTGACGTTTCTGGGTAGTATGGGGCTAGCCCAACCGAGGAGATATAATGTATAGGCCTG